TGGAGAAGAGAAGACTGAGGGGGATTTAATTGCAGGCTTTAACTACCTAAAGTGGGGCTCCAAAGAGGATGTAGCTAAACTGTTCTCAGTGGTGGCAGATGACAGAACAAGGAGCAACAGTCTCAAGTTGCAGCAAGGGAAGTTTAGGTTAGATATTAGGAAAAACACTTCCTCACTAGGAGGGTTGTAAAACACTGGAACAGATTACCAAAGGATTGGGCTGTGCAAAATTTCAGGAGCCATTTAGTTTCAGACATGGCACCCAAAATGCTGAATTTGAAATGAAACAGAAGGCTCCAAAACAGCTCTGAAACAAAATGAAACCATCTGAAACATTTTGGAAATGTTTTGGATGTTTTGAAACGTTTCAGAGGCGCCCTGGGAAGAGTCTGGCACAGACACGCAGACCTCCTTTTAAAGTGCCAGGACTAGGCTGGGGCCAGGCAGGGAAGCCATGGGGGCTTCTCCCACAGCTCCCCCAACTGGGGAAGAGGCAGGCACAGCCAGAGGAGCCGTGGGAGAATTCCCCATGGCTGGCCCGCCCGGGCCCAAGCCCAGCCTCCCAGCACAAAAAAAACCAAACCATGCACTCACTGGCTGCAGCAGCAGCAATTGGGGCCTCTGGGGGCTCATGGCAGGTGCCCAAACACAGTGCAGGACAGTGGCGGGGCAGCGGTGATTGCCCCCCCCTGCTTGGCACCTGCATGGCAGCTGTCTCATCGTGCGGGTGCAGTGCATATCGGCAGGGCACCGTACGCTGTCTGGGAGCTGGGGTCGTTGAGGATGAATGGTGGTAGGTTCTGGTTGACAGGTGGAGCCACCCGAGCTCCCAGACAGCACATGGCACCCTGCCGAGCCGCGCTGCACCCACACCATGGGGCAGCTGCCGTGTGGGTACCAACCAGGGGGGTGATCCCCACTGCCATGCACTGCATGGGGGGTGCTCTGCCATGAGCCCTCAGAGGCCCTGATCACTGCTGCTGCAGCTGGTGGGAGGAGCTGCAGGAGAAGCCCCCATGGCTGCCCTGCCCAGCCCCGGCCCCCGCCTCCCAGCACTTGGAAAAAAAAAAAAGCCACATATTCACCGGCTGCAGCAGCAGCAATTGGGGCCTCTGAGGGCTCATGGCAGAGCTCCCTCGTGCAGTGAGGGACAGTGGGGATCAGTGGGGATTACCCGACCGCTTGGCACCTGTGCTGCAGCTGAATCTTCAAATTAGTGCTGAAACCTCATTGAAACTCTGAAACAGATTCAGCTGAATTGAAACGTAACAGTGATCCAAAACACTGAAACCAATCACTGACCCTCTGAAATGGCTGAATCCAAAACCAAAACAAAACTTAGCTGTTTCACACAGCCCTACAAAGAAGTTGTAGAATCTCCATCCTTGGTTTTTAAGACCCAGGTGGACAAAGCTGTGGCTGGGATAATCTAGCTGGGGTTGGTCCTGCTTTGAGCAGGGGATTAGACTAGATGACCTCCTGAGGTCCCTTCTAACCCTAATTTTCTACGATTCTATGAAATATATATATGTATTATTGACAAACCCTAGTTAGGAGTTATATATAAACCTTAGAAATAGGTATCTATCAATGAATTCACTACATTTTCAACTAGATTGCAAGAAAAAGAAACTTCTGAGGTATGAGCGGGCACAGGGCACATATTGGCTTATATATGTACCAACAGCCTGCTTCATAAATTATAAGAACAGTAAGAAGGCAGGATAGACTTGAACCTTATAGATTCTCTGTCTGTCTGTCTGTCTGTCTCTCTCTGGTTACTTTATAAGATGCAAATCTACCCTGCTTTCACCTTGACTTCAGGCTAACACAGCTACCTCTCTCTCCCAAGAATGGTAAGAAACAGACTGAATACAGGTGACATTTTTGTCTGCAATTTGCTACTGAATTAATTTCTTACTATGGTGATAGCACCTTTCTATGGTGTTTCATTTTTAGGATGCAAAACAAAAAATCAGGACCCAACCACTGTATATGAGAATAAAGTCCCAACCAGGACTTTATTCTCATATACAGTACACTGGTCAGATAGTATGAAGAAACATTAAAGTGGGAAAAGCCCACACCTATACCCATTTTTTTGAATACTTGTTTATAAAATAGTCATGCAAAAAAAGGTCTAGTGCACAAGAGAATAAGGCTCCTAATATTTGAAATTCCCAATAACCTTTTCTTTTTTAAATTTTGGCAAGAATTTGGTATCAGCCCTGCCTTTTTTGAGCAATTATATTTTGGATTTCTAAAACTGCTGTGTATATTAAAGTGGTTTTGCTCTTCATCTTTCCTGCCCTTTTGTGGTAGTATACAGTTGTGGACGCCTACCTTGGGTAAGGCTGCCTTTCAGCAGTGTGACATAACACAGATATAGTGACCACCACACCGCTTAATATCATAATTACTTCCTGTCCCTAGAATTTGACATAGTGGTTCTCGGAAAATGATGGCTTGGTTTTAATTTAGGTTTTTTTTGTTTTGTTTTATTTTATTTTGTTTTAACATTCTTTTCAGAACTAATGATGGAAAAAATGAATGGAGATCACTGAATATAAAAGGCCAGGTCTTCCTCCTAGGAAAGTTGAGGGCAATAATTCCATACACTTCCACTGGGATAGAATTGGGCCCAAAGTTTTATAGACTGATTTTGGAATGAAAGATGCTATGCCAGCTCTAGATACTTTATTGTTACTGACAAGTATTTTTAAAATTAAAACTTAATAAATAATGTGTGGAAATTGTTAAATTGATGCAAAACACTTCTCAAACACCTTCTCTCTTTGTGGCTGTCTTGCAAACACTAATTTGCTTTTTAATTACAAATCAAGGGGCATTTCAGATAAATATCTGACACAGTCTCTTTTATATGGACTAAAGGCCAGACCCCAGTTTGGTTTTAGGGGCACCAAAACAAGGAGTTAATCCTGTTCTTAGGATTGTTTGTGTTTGTAAGCCAATGGATGGCTGTCTTATTGTGAAATGCATCAAGTCCTTTGAACTTTGGTCTCCTTACCTCCAAGAGAGTGCAACTAAGTTACAGAAGCCTGCACTCTCTTCCTTGCTCTCCTGCCCCATGCCTTTTGCACCCTGGGCTGCTCAGTGGCTTTGCTTCAATAGTAAATGTAGAGAGTACATTTATCCAACTTATGCTACAGCCTGGTGGTGAAAGTTGTCTCTTGGGAAGCAGGAGACGTGCATGTCTTCAAGCTGAGGAAGGCTGGGAATCCAGGTCTCCTGCTTTCTGTTGAGGTTATCGGGCAAAACATGGGCATTATCCACACTGGCACTGACCTCAAAGGCAGGGTCTTCGGAATCTCAAGAGTACAGACAAGCATGGCTTATAATGGCTTAAGGGTACCCTGAATCAGGCACTTAAACTTTGAAGAGTGATGCTACTCCAGGTGTACTTGTGCTTAACTTTTCCTCTAGGCCATGGGTGTCAAACTCATCCAGACCCACAGAGGTGGTCTAGTGCCAATACTACATGCAGCATGCACGCTGGAACAGCTGCACGTGTTTCAAGCATGTACGCAGCACACTGGCCCTCACGTAGCACATGGTGTGTAGCATGTGGCATATGCCACATGGGGCCAATTTGGGATGCACAGCATGCAGGGCCTGAGGCATGCACTACACATGGCACACTGAATCCCACGCTGCACGCTGAATCCCACATGGATAACTTGTCTGTGGGGCTGATCTGGATCTAGCATGGAAGGAAGGTCTGGTGCAGCAGCCACATGCAGCATATGCCCCAGACTGGCCCCATGCCATGTGAAGCCCATGCCAGACTTGCCATGGCTGAAGCATGAAGCATGCACTGGCACAGATTATGAAGCACACTTAGAAGAGAGGTCATACTTTACTGAGTCAACTATAATAGGCATGGGCTTCACACGGCATGTGGCCAGTCTGGGACATATGCTGGTATGGGCTTCACATAGCATGGGTGTGTCAGGGGTCACATGCACATCATGGGACCCGTGCCAGCGCATGCTTCATGTAGCTGGCAGCATATGGGCCAGAAGATACAGTTATGTGGTCTGGATATGGCCTGTGGGCTGCATGTTTCCCACCCTGCTTTAAGCTGTCCGGATTATTCCTTACATCTCTATATAAAGAACCTGAAACACTTAAATCTATTAGAAATCAATTGTTCTCTAAGGCTAAGATATCCAGAATTTAGGTGTCCAAGTGCCTAAATATATGCACTTCAGATATTAAAATACCTTAAAGTTGGGTACTGAATCCTCAGGTACTTAGGAAAATCACTGCTGACTAAGGATATACTTAGTAGAGGTATCACCTGTATTTAAACAGAGGATGATTTTTCATTGTAGGCACTCTAACTTCTGCTCACTGAAGAGTTGTCAATGATTTCTTATATTAGAACATAAGTTTTATATATAACATTGCTTCCATATCATACAAAAGAAAATCATTTTGATTACTGTAAGTCCTGGTTCTGCCATCATCACTCATATTCAGTCAGGTCCTCCTCAGGCAGAGTAAAGTACTACTAAGCAAAGCATAGTAGATACACTGGGCACTTAATTTATCTATATATCGATGGATCTAGGGACACGTTATTCTTTCAAAGAAATATGGCTATTTTAGTGATTACTGTTATATAAGTAAAAGTATCTTTTTTTGCAGTACCATAATTTCTAGATACAATATATGGTTACTCATGGTATATTTGTGTCAGATATTGCTTAGGTATAAAATTCAGTAGCTTTGAATCTAGAGATATAGTAGTGTATCTACACAACAAATTCTTCATCAGATTAACTTTTGTGGAAAAGTTGTCCTAAATCATATCTCGGGTCAGGTGTATCACTGAGAGTTTAGATAGCCCTGTGCATTTAACCCACAGAACAGTGCTAGTGGAAACACTACCTGCATGTTCTTGGAACTAACATGTGGAATTTTAAAAGGTTTACAAATTCCACCTTATCTTAATGTTTCTTTTTTTTTTTCTCCAGTTAACTTCTCTTTCTACCTCTGACCATCTTTTCCATAAACCACCTGCTATCCGTTTAATTTCTCCAACTAATCTGAAAGTAAAGCGTGACCTGGTTAACTCGAATCAAGCCTCTTCACTGGAAGGATCCTATAACAAGTGTCAGTCTGCAACTGGGTCTTCTAAACAAGATTCATCTACATGTTTTCAGGCTACTACTCATAGTTCACCCAAGTCCAAAAGATCCGACTATGAATTAAGTAGCCCTTCTTCCAGTTCTCAGTTTTCCAGTAGTTCTCAAGTGCCAACTATTTCTATACCTGACTGTGCTTATAAACCATCACAAGTCACTAGGTCAGGGCTTCCAAATGGGAGTGGAAGTCTATCCGCAGATGTTCCCAGTTCAAGCAAAATTCAAGACTTGTCAGCCCAGTCTCTGCCCTCACGTTCTTTTAAAAGATCTGTATCTGCCATACCTGTCCATATCACAGCACATTTATTATCACCTAGTCCTAAACCTCTGTCCTCTCCATTTTATAGTTCCTCCTCAACCATATGTAGTATAAATGAGCCTTGCAGTCAAATGTCACCTAGTGGAAATCAACTGAAGCCAGATATTAGAGCCTCCCTGCCAACAAGGCTCACTCTTTTAACTGCTGTCCTGAAGTCACACCCTTCTCAGCAAAGACCATTATCCCCTGCTTCTTGCCCTGCTACCTTTTCAGTTAACTCCCTTGGCTCCTCAACACTCTCAATAGATCAAAAGTTTATAACAACTCCACCTACCCCTAAGAAATATGTCTCAGGCTTTTCTGTTAGGTCAGACTCTCCAAGCCAAGAAGAACATCAGCCACTGGGATTTTCACATGTGCCTATATCTTCAAAGGCCCATCATCCACCTCGAGCTAGATCCCTTTCCCCTAGAAACCACCTTTATTCCAGACCCCTATCTCCTGACTCATTAAGTCCTCTGTCATCCACTGTTTCTTCCTATAGAAAGACAGTTGTCTCTCCACTATTACAACCAAGCTTCCCTACTTATTCAATGCCTTCTTGTGTCCCAAGACACTTTTCTTTGAACCCTGAATCTTCTCCTACAAAACAGATGCATTACCCTATCTCCAAATCCCAAATACCTGAGAAGTCAAGGCGAGTACATACCTACTCACCCACCTTCATCTGTAAATCACATCCTTTGTCCTCTCCTTCCAATCAAAGGGGCACATTTTCCCCCTCTTTTGAGATATGCTCTTCTTCTTCTCCAAATCCTTTAAACCCTACATATAAATCCAAAGCAAGTTCAGCACAGAGGTTTGCTCAGGAGTTCAGTGATGCCTCCCCTGCCCTTTCAAATGCCTCAATGCAATTGTCTTCCTCACATCCTAATTCTATATCACCTATTCCTTCAGCTTGTTATAGTCATCCCCACTCCTCAAAACTTAGTTCCTCATCATTGCGCCCAAGTTATAGAGTTTATTCCTCACCTCTGAGACCTGAGCAATCGGCCACCTCATCAGTAGCACAGTGTAGATCTCCTGTTTCAGACCGGTCATCTTGTCCACTTCTATCAAGATCCAGAGAGCTGACTTCACCACAGACTTTTTCACTGTCTTCTGACCATGAAAACACAAAAGCCAAGGTACTCATCTTGCATGCTTATTTTTTAATGTTCCTTTGTCTTCAGAGGAAAATAATGCTCATTTTAGAGACAGTAAAATTAATGAATTTGGTTAAAGTTTTTAAAGAAGCAAAATTTACTACCTATATTAATGCCGTGACATAACAATCATAACATCACATTTTTCTATCTGTGTTTTATAGTAAAATAGCGGCCACTTCAAGAGGTCTTTAGCATAAAAATAAAAGGTATAGTGAGTGGGAAGACATGCTGATGAAGTGTCAATTTGTTACAACTGCTTGGACATGGATTTGATTTTCTTTCAATTTTTTGAAAACTCAGATAATACATTGCTGGGTGAAATATAAATCAATAAATGCGATGATTTGGATAAGCTTAGTAAGTGGGCGGATATAAACCTGATGATGTTCAATACCAAAAAATGCAAGATATTCCACCTTGGGGAAAAAAAGCACACAGCACTCTTATAGGCTCGGCAGTGGTATACTCGCTAATACTACGGCTGAAAGAGACTTGGGGGTCATGATTGACCACCAGATGAACATGAGCCACCAATGTGATGTCACAGCTGGTAAAGCAAACAAAACTCTGGCTTGCATCCATAGATGCTTCTCAAGTAAATCTCAGGATGTCATCCTCCCGCTGTACTTAGCCTTGGTGAGGCCACACCTGGAGTATTGCATCCAATTCTGGGCTCCGTAATTCAAGAAGGATGTCGAGAAGCTTGAGAGAGTCCAGAGGAGAGCCACGTGCATGATCAGAGGGCAAGACAATAGGCCTTATGATGAGAGGCTGAGAGCCATGGGACTCTTCAGCCTAGAAAAGTGCAGGCTCAGGGGTAACATGGTGGCTGCCTCTCAGTACGTAGAATAAGGCCTAGAATAGATTCCCTCCAAAAGTGGTGCAGACACCACTCTGGACTCACTCAAGAAATGTTTGGATGCTTATCTTGCTTGGATCCTTTGACCCTAGCTGACTTCCTGCCCCTGGGGCAGGGGACTGGACTTGATGATCTTCAAGGTCCCTTTCAGCCCTCATGTCTATGAAATCTATGAAAATTTATTCTGTGCACATTAAGAGAGCAGGCCCTTAGCTATTCCTGTCACTTTCCATTCTTCCTATGGAAAACTAGGTGTGTCTCAAAGTTTACTATCAAACCTACGTACTTTTTCAGTACTTCCCTGTGCCAAATCTATTCTCTCTTTTCCCACTGTTGATCTCTCCTGTTCTTGGCCGTGGTCCTGGCAGGGCATGCCTACACGCTCATTAATGCACTTTAGTTGGTGCACATTTAGTTTAGTACCTCTAATAAGGTACCAACAATAAGAGGTACTAAACTAAATGCACAATAACTAGAGTTACAGCTGTCAGCATGGTTAATAACTGCTACACTACTGCTCAGTGTTATTAGGCTAATGCTCAGTAAGCGTCTCGTGTAGATGCTCCTGCAGTGTGCTACATTTATAGCTAAAGTCTCTGCTTTCTTCCATTATGCTCTAATCCTTTTGCCTTGTTTTGCTGTTTCTATATGCTATAGTCATTTCATCACAACTAGTTTGAGTAGTAAATTCTAGTCTGTCACCTTTCGCTTCTGTGTCTTTGTTGTAAATTCTATATAAGGAAGAAGAAATCTCCTGACTACACTTGCTGCTGTAAATGTGACCGTCTCACACACTGATGAATCAGCCATCTGCCTTCTATATGTCATTCACTAGAAGGAGAAAGAAAACCAACCGAATGAGAATAAGCAATAATGAAAATTGCTGTAAAAGGGTTTGGAAATCAGTGATGTTCTTTAAAAATGCTTCATGTGAACGTAGGAACAGGGAAGAAAGTGTGAGGGGAAAAAAAGGAAGGGAAAATAGGTTGGTCAAAAATAATGCAATAGATGTGTAAATAAAAGAAATAAAAGAAACTAGAAAAGACAAAGAAGAAATGAGGTAAAATTGGTCAAAGGGTACCTTTGTTCATCTTACTGTGTATTATGCATTCCCAGTTTTTGTTATTCCTCTGCTTCCTTATCTCTCATCTCTCCACTTAAATCTGAAGCACACTTAGAAGAGAGGTCATACTTTACTGAGTCATCTATAATAGGTTCTTCTGTGTCAAGCTGCATCAATTAGAACTCCTAACAAACTATATATGTCCATAGTAGATGTGATTGATCTGGTTGGAGAATTACCATTGAAAGTGTTTTTTTCTTTTTTAATAGGAAAGCCTGTTTCAAGAATTCTCATCTATGTTTCCTAAAATTTTACAGATTTTCATGAAATTTTCCTATATAGTAATTTGATTTTTTTTTAATTTTGGTCTGGTCATTTTTCATTTCAAAATTTAATTTTGAAAATTCAAAATCTTATTCTATTTCATGGTTATGTTATTTTTACATTATTTCATGACATATTAATAGTAGAAGTAGTACATAATATGTGCTACTGCTGCTCATGTACCAGAATTAGTATATCTACATCTGCATTAGGTAAGCATGGGTGCTGGAAACAGTGTAGCAATGTTAATGTAATGCTTTGACTGGGATAACATAACCTGATTCTCAATACTGCATATTGTCATGTAATGCACTCAATATGACAGAACATAACAGTTGATGTATGGTATTATTTTAGTCTATTTTATTTTATTTTGTTTAAATAACTAAGGGCTACTGAAAGTTTACAATTGAAAAAATGCATCGTCTTTTTGTGTAATCAAAATGGCTCCTGTTTGTGTACAAACAGCAAATACATTCACTACAACATAGTTGAGAGATGCTGAAAAGAAAATAGGATGTAGCAGCTGTTCTTAATGAGTCTAAAAATATAATATTCTATTTTCATTTTAACACATATCAGACTAGTGAGAGTAGTGCATATTATTTATTATTATTATCATGGACTTGTCATTAAATAATATACATGTAATACATATAAAATAAGCTGTGAAATGATATGAACATTTGTAAATCTGAAAAATTCAGAAGATATTTTTTCAGAATTACTATTTTATGGAATATTTTGAAGTTAACTTAGGGACCGTGGCAGATTTGGTAGAGGCTAGGGCAATCACATGTGCAGCAGCAAGCAAGACTTTTGTGTATTGCAAAGTTTTGTTTGTCCCAGTGAGATCAGACAGGGAGCAACAGGGAGGTCATCTTTATCATACAAAACAAAGAGGATTATCTGATGGGTTTTCAAGCAAAACATCAGACAGTACAGAGGAGAAACCAAGTTTGAAATAGAGCCACCTTGTGGCAGGAGCACATAACACTGGCAGGAGTGTATACTGGCAGGAGTATATAACATGTCATAGTCATTGTTGTTGGCAATCCCTCATTGTCAACGATGCTCATTCCCATGTGTCAAGTAAAGGGTTGTAGATGTGTCCGTTGATGGCTAAGAAGGCCAGTCCTAGAATTGCAGACTCTCTGGCAAATGCCACAGGTGGTGGTTAAAGGGAGGATCAGATCACAGATTTCTTGGTCTTGTTTCTATTCCTTTTGTTTCTATCATTTTTCAATCTCCAGGGTGAGAGAATTTTTCTCAAGGTAACAGATGCCTTTTTTCAAAAGCGAGCGCCATGTAGCCCTGTCCCAGGCTAGTTTTCCCCAATTTGTAGAGTCAATGCTACACTTCTTAAAGCTTGCCTTGAGAGAGCCCTTGAAGCATTTCATAGATTCATAGATTTCCTCTAGCCCCTATGTGTATTTTGTCCTTGGCTGAGTTGGGAGTATAGCAGTTGTTCTGGTATACATACATCACACACAATGCTCTGTCCACTGCAACTGATATTGAATAATCAACACTTCCATTCTGGTGGTGTTAGCGTCGGTGAGGACACTGGCATTTTTGTGGTGATCCTTCCACTTTATGCCAAGGATCTTTCAGAGCTGGTGATGGTGGTCCAAGCTTTTCAGGTGGTCCCTGTAGGTCACTGAAGCTTCACATCTCTTGAGAAAAGTTGGGATTACCAGAGCCTTATATAGTAGGAGCTTTGTTTGAGTCCTGATGTCATGATCATTGAACACACAGTAATTTGGTCTTCTGAAGGCAGAGCTATTACATCAGATCCTGTACTGAATCTCCTCATCTATGTTGTCCTTCTTTGAGAGATGGCTGCAGAGGTATGAAAAGTGTTCAACACTCTCCATCTCCTATTCATCAATGAGGATCTTTGCCAGGGGGGTTGATTGCCATGGGCCAGGCTGGTGATGCACCTTTGTTTTTCCCATGTTAAGGGTCAAGCCAACAGCACAGTTATTGATGTAGTGAAGTTTTACAATTTAGGCCAAAGTACCTTTTGTTTTCCATGGAGGCAGTAGAGGCAGAAAAGGTTCCCATCCATCCTGTGCTCTATGCCAATGCCATATGGCAGAAGGTCACTGATGAGCATTTTCATGACTACAAGAAAGATGGAAAACAAAATTGGTGTAGTCACACAGCCTTGCTTGACGCCAGTTCGAATTGCAAATGGCTCCATAGTGGAGCCACTGCATAGGATGGGGGAAGTCATCTGGTCATGAAGGGGTCTTAGGATGGTGATAAATTTCCCTGGGCAGCCAAACTTTGATAAGATCTTCCATAGAGCCTTCATATATATGAATGAATTTGTCTGTGTTAGCTAATTGTGAACGTTATAACCAGCTAAATCTTGACAAATTGGGACTAGAAATACAACATAGCCTCTAGCAGTAAAACTTACCAATATTTAACCATTGAAATAACTTTACTAGCCATATCCTTGATTCTTCATATTTGAAATCTCTAAGTCAGGCTCAGCCTGAAGTTATGGGGTTGATATAAAAATTAGAGTGAAATTATAGCCTTGTGTTAGTCTGGGTGTTCAGACTGGATCAGGAATGGCAAAAATACAGCTGTGGGCAAGATTCAGCCTGCCAAGCCACTCTATCTGGCCTGCTAGGCTACTCAGGAAGTTAGAGGGTGGGGATGGGGTACATGGACTGCTGCAGAATTTGGGGCCTCAGTAGCAGGAGGGCAGTCAAGGAC